CAAAATCATAAGACAACAAAATCACAACTATTGAGTTGCACCATTGAACATATGTAACATGGAACCCGTTATTCGAAAGAGGAAAATCTCTTCAGGAGCATGTAGACTGAACACCCGACCCAAATGTAGCAAGTTATGCAAAATAATCATCAAGTAACAACAAGCCTTCTCACTCAAGGAAAGGTATATTTCATGCACAAGCCACAGCAACTTGATATGTGGTATCAGGGATAGACCTAGGGGCTGGCAGGGCGTTTCGTCCTCTCAAAAATATCAATTCTAATATAATTTAGAATTTTATAAACTCGACCATTAGAATTTTGTTATTCGCCCCCCACATTGATTTTAAAGAAAGCAATATGGATACTCAAAATAATTTTATTAGCATGTGCGGATAAAACTTCACATATCCTGATAAGGCTATTGTTATCTTCAAGTCCACACGAACCTGCACATTGAAAAAAAAAGTACTTTTACACAGTTGGGTTCATTTATATCATTCACCAAACTTCAATTTACTCCAAAACAGAAATGCAAATCCCCATGTTAGTTAAAACTTCATTTTCCCTTCGCAGATACAACACCATCGATTAATTTTCTTTTTCAGATAAAATAAAAACAAAAAGAAATGTGTGTGCAAATCACTTACCTCAGCTTCTGTAACCATCTGATCCACATAACCCTTAATTTTATGAACTCTAAGGGCCTCCGTAAAGAACCGGAACTGCTCTTGCCTTACCGAGTAATCAACATCAAACACTACACCGGTGCCAAAAGTTGGCACATTGAACTGATAAACTTCTTGCTGGCTGAGGTCTGATTCAGAAGCCTTGAAGAAGTGTGTTGAAACCTCAGGCCCAATCAAGAATGTTATCTTCTTGTTAAACAAGTTCAACGTGAAAACACTGCCAAGTTTTGGGTACTCCTCACGGAGCTTCACGATAAGTCCTTTCATAAATCGTAGGAGCCCACCGATTACCGGCCAGGTTTTGATTACTGGCGGCAACCGCTTCTTAGAGCTGGGCATTATGAGAAACGATACGAGCTTGGCCACAACTAGCGGGGCTACTATGAGAATACCCATGTTAAGAAACTCGTCGTCTGCTTCCATGGTGCCTCGGTTTTTATAGTTTCCTATCGGTTCACAGCTGAAAATCGAAGAAAAAGTAAGAATTATAGGATGAAAGAAGAAAATCAACAAGAATGTGACGGGGAACTCAAAGACATAAAGCTAACCAAAATAATAACAATGTAGAAACCATGACATGAGATTACAGGTAAATGAATGCAGATTAAGCCGTGATACTCAGAGCTTGATTCGGGAGGCCGCCGAATTGCATGGGCGCTAGTTGATTCTGCTAAATCTGTGGATCATTTACCACAGGTGGCTGTTTTATAATCCTGCGCCTGCGCTGTCCTGTTTAGTGTTTGGATACATAACATGATAGATGGGAAGTCGATATAAGACGGTATTATAGGAATAATAGTTATTTTATATTTATTCAATTATTTATTAAAATAATATGCCTGGCATATGTCAAAGACACGTATTTATATAAACATGAGCTGGCCGGGCAATGACAACTTACATATATATAAATTTTATCACTCAATGAATACATTTTTGTTATTAAATGAATACATATCTAAATACTTTAAAAACACACATATATAAATAAGAAAATAATTGTTTTTTCAACTATTTTCAACAATCACAACCAAAAATCATTCTATGATGTCTTTTGCGATCATTCTAGACAATGACGAACTCATCTCATCGTTTTTTTATCACTTTATCAATTTAGATTTCTTTGGAACCTCTTTAAAACTTATGAAATCAAACATAAAAAATAAAACTATTTCCGAAGTTGAAGCTTTCTTATATTTGAAGGGTTTTGAGTGTTTGTTCGAAAATCTGAACAATGATATTTTTCTTTCGAGAAGACGAACAACATACCTCAAAACTATTATCATTACTGTTGGAAGATATGAGTATTAGAACGTCAAAATTTTAGATGAATATTCGTTGATTCTGAATGAATTTCGTGTAAACCCAATTTAAAGAGAAGAAATATGAGTAAAATGTAAACGTTTATGTATGATCTTATCGTGAATGACGATTTATGACATGTGGCAATCGACCGCTAATAACAATCAAATAGTCTTACTATTTTATGTAAAAAAAATGAGAAATAAATGATCATATAATTCAATCGTTAATGATATGATAATTTAATGACTAAGAAATCAATATTCAAAATTCAGTGTTAAAATTATAACTTAAATAGAATAAATTTTTTATTTATTTAATATATTATTTATTTAAGAAATTTGATGATAAAATCGATATAAAAATTAAAATGTAATAATTAATGATATTAATTTATTCTCAGTTATATTTTTAGTAGAATAAACCTTTTTACTTGTTCAACATTATGAATTTTTTTTTCCAGAACTAAGGGTATACGTCAATTTCCATGAGATTAATCTCTAAATTTAAAATTAAATATAAAAGGCAAGTTATTAATATTACTTTACATGGTTTATATTTAAATTGCATTAATCCAATTATGGAAAGAAACACTTGTAATTACCTTAAATCATATGTCATAATCATTTAATTTATTTTAATTTTTATCTTAATTTTTATTTTAAATTATGTATCAACATCTAATAAAAATAATGAGCGCATCATAAAATTCTTTTATTGCATGACATTTTTTATTTGGCCTACTAACTTAATTAGTTTAGTAAAGCCTTGAAAGTCTCTCTCAACCCTAAAAGTTTTCAACGGTTTATTCCCTTTTTTATCTTGGTCGGCAGGGTATGATATTTTGATAATGTTGTCGATATTTTTCTGTTTTTATGACATAATTTTCTAATTTTTTTGACACGTTTTTATCATTTGATTATTGTTTTCCTTTATATTTTTTTAGGTTATATTTGACGTATTCACAACTGATCAAGATACACTTAATCATTATCATATTAATTTTCCCTGCTTTGACCCTCATATTGAATTTAGATACACGATATGCATTCATCGATAGTTTTCTCACATCGTTCGACTCTAATTTGTGGTTTTTCGATGGTCTTTTTGTAGCTTGATTCATTTTGTGGTTCGTTTGTCTATGCATTAGATTTGTTTGTATCTATCTTTTGTTCGAACTTTTGGACTAGAATTTTTTAACATTTTTCTTGTACAGTCCTTGCATGATCTTAAGTGGTTAGTTTCTTACGTTAATGGTCGTAGAAAAATATAATGAAGAATGAAACCTAGTAGACAATGGTGAGTTTAAAGCAAAGAGAAGTTGAAGAAAATAGAATAGAAAGCATATACATACAAACATATCTTCGAAAGGGGCATTTACATGGGGCCGAGGAAATCAATTCATAAGACAATAAGAATCCTGTCATAAAACAGAGAAATTTTTTCATAGATCACTTTCATCACATCATCAATGGTCCAACCAATTAAAAAATTTCACATTAATCTTCTCTTTTAGGTCATTTACACACAAAGATTGTATTTTCTAAATCCATTTCTTCATTGATACATATCGAATTAAATTTAAATTTGGGGACTATTTTTAAAATTTTCATTAATGCATTTATTTTTTTAAAGAAATATCTCTGTTTACGAAGTTCTTTTACTTTCTGTTCATCCAAGTTAGAAATTGGAAAACAAGATTAAAAGAACAAAAGTTTAAGAATTCATCAATGACTTCGCCTCAGCCTTGTATTTTCACAGTAACGAATTATCTTTGTTTGGTAAACAAAAGACCTATGGGTTCATATCATCGTGGTAAAGATCACTTGAGAGCAACGGAAGAGCAAAAGCTTGGCTTTCTTCTCCAACTTGTTGAAGAAACATAGGAGATTAATATTTCAGAATAACAAGCTAGAAAATGCTATGGACAACCTTTAAGCCTTCACTCAGATGATTTCATCAAAATGTTGCTAGTCGATGATGCTTTATTGTTCAGCTGATTCGCTTGTATTTACAGGGGGATACACGGCTTCTTTCTTGCTTTAGTTTAAGACATTTTGTTACTCGAAAATCAACTTCCATTCTTCGTTATCTATATGCCATGATAGTGTAACAAAGACTGCGTCACGTCATGCCACCGGTTACATAATGTTCATAGACATCCTCATCGATTCACTCAAAAAGACAAAATACTTTGCCAAAATGAAATCTTAGACAACATGTTAGGTAATTATGAAGCAGTGACAACCATGATTAACATTCTGAGAATGTATGTTATGAATTCTCAAAACTTCTATTACAGTGGAGTGTTCAACTATGGAAACGACAATTGCAGCAAACCTTGGAACAAATGGCTAGAATTTCTTTTTTTAAAATACATTAATGAAAGATCCTAAAAATAATCGCTAAATTGTATTAATGAGCAAACCGATTTGTGCAAATGACCTGGAAAAAAAAAGATTGATGTGAAAATTTTTAATTGGTTAGTACCATTGATGATGTGGTGGAAATGGTCCATAAAATAATTTCTCCCAAATATGGTAGACATTGATTTGCTTTGCACCTATATTTTCACTCTTCCATTTTAATTAATCAAACTTAAAAGCCGCCAGTTTCGTATCGCAATTGCTGCGAAAGCAGCAGCAGCAAAGAGTGGAGATAGGTAGACTCTTTAGCCCTTGAATTCGAAGCTATAAATGCCACCATTTTCATCTTGGTGACGTTAGTACACAAATCTTACGTTTGTAGCCGCCATTAATGCAACCTCCAGCTAACACTATTTGTATATACACTGCCTTTCTACTTTCTCTCATTCCATTTATTAAATTATTGGCCATTTTTTCTGATAGGTCCTCATGGACGGTTGGATCTCCCTTTATTATGGTGTCTGACAGACTGTTTTTTCTTATCATTTTAAAAATACTAATTGAAAATTGATTGTGATTACTAACTGTCCTCCCCATGTACATGAATTCTCTTCTCTGAGCTTAAAGTTGGTTATATAGGTTACTCTTTCAACTCTGAGCTGCAAGTTCCTTGGCATAGAGGTATGTAAACCTGCTCTTGTTTCTGTTTTTCAGTCATTCAATTGAAGTGATCGGTGGTAGAACTTATACGGACCATGCATTTAACATGTTTTTTCGACATTAATTGGAATGCTCGGTTCTAGCCGTCAGATTTGGCACCATTTGAAGCAAGCTTGAAAGTTCCCAAGCAAATTAAAATCTTCTTAATTTGATCATCGGGAGGGCTTTTAAATTTATTCAGAGAGGAGGGATATGGGTAGCACTAGCAGAGAAATCAAGTCGCCTGAAGATCTGCTAGAGACGCCAGCTAGTTTGGAATTGGATGGAAAGTCCAGGAAGAAACTGGGAGTGTTCTTTATCGAGTCCGATAACAGGAGAACGGCTTTCGGGCGTGGTTATACCGGGGGAACAACGCCTGTTAATATCCATGGGAATCCTATAGCAGATCTTTCAAAGACTGGTGGCTGGATTGCTGCCTTCTTTATTTTTGGTACATAATATAGTTTCTCAGCTTTAGGTTACTACTTACTATTGTATGTTGCACGTGTGTGATTTGTGAAAATTAAAACATTTTTTACTCTTTATCCATCCATTCAGGGAATGAGATGGCCGAAAGAATGGCTTATTTTGGCCTATCAGTGAACATGGTGGCCTTTATGTTCTATGTTATGCATAGGCCCTTCTCAAGTTCTTCGAATGCAGTTAACAACTTCTTGGGGATATCTCAAGCATCCTCTGTCCTTGGTGGTTTTCTTGCCGATGCTTATCTCGGTCGATATTGGACGATAGCCATATTCACCACCATCTATCTTGCGGTGAGACATCGTATCCCTTATCTATAGAACCCATTGTTGAGTGCTTGACTTTTCAAATTTCATCACTTGTCAACCTTGTTTCCTACAGGGTTTGATAGGGATAACTTTATGTGCATCGATGAAGATTTTCGTGCCGAATCAAGACCAATGCGATCAACTGTCCCTGCTTTTGGGTAGTTGCGAGCCTGCAAAACCATGGCAGATGCTTTATCTCTATACAGTCCTTTATATAACTGCTTTCGGAGCCGCGGGTATAAGGCCCTGCGTTTCTTCTTTCGGGGCTGATCAGTTTGATGAAAGAAGTAAAGATTATAAGACCCTCCTGGATAGATTTTTCAACTTCTTTTACCTCTGTGTTACTATTGGGGCAATTGTAGCATTCACTCTGGTAGTGTACATTCAGATGGAGCGTGGATGGGGAGCTGCCTTCGGTTCATTAGCTATAGCTATGGGAATGTCCAACATGATATTCTTTGCAGGTACTCCTTTATACAGGCACAGGTTGCCCGGAGGCAGTCCCCTGACCCGAGTTGCACAGGTGCTGGTTGCTGCCTTCAAGAAACGACATGTCCCTTTTACAAGAAGCGAGTTAGTCGGCCTCTATGAGCTCCCTGGAAGACAATCTGCTATAAAGGGAAGTGGAAAAATACCTCATACAGATGATTTCAGGTATAGGTTTCTCTTATTCCATTTCTCAATGGCAGATCAAATGGATTTGTTACATCAGATTTCACTGCTTTTTGGTGTTGCAGATGCTTGGACAAGGCAGCTCTCCAGTTGAAAGAAGACGGTGACGATCCGAGTCCCTGGAGGCTTTGCACAGTGACTCAAGTAGAGGAAGTGAAGATACTCATTAAACTTATTCCGATACCGGCTTGCACGATAATGCTCAATGCTATCTTAACAGAATTTTTAACACTCTCAATACAACAGGCATATACGTTGAATACTCACATGGGTAAACTGAAACTCCCAATAACATGCATGCCTGTATTTCCTGGCCTCAGCATATTTCTCATACTGTGTCTCTATTACTCCGTATTTGTTCCTATATCACGACGCATCACCGGTCATCCACATGGTGCTTCTCAGCTCCAGAGAGTAGGCATTGGTCTGTTTATTTCCATTTTATCCGTGGCCTGGGCCGGAGCTTTCGAAAGGTTTCGAAGAGGCTATGCTATAAGACATGGCTACGAATTTAGTTTCCTAACGCCCATGCCTGATCTAAGTGCATACTGGTTGTTGATCCCATACTGCCTTATTGGTATAGCTGAAGTGTTTTCGATAGTCGGCCTACTGGAATTCCTCTACGAAGAAGCTCCGGATGCGATGAAGAGTATAGGCTCCGCGTATGCTGCTCTATCCGGCGGTTTGGGTTGTTTCGTTGCCAGTATAATCAACAGTATCATCAAATCGGCTACAAGGAATCCGGAGAATAAGCAGTTATCTTGGCTATCTCAGAATATAAACCAAGCAAAATTCGATTACTTTTACTGGCTGCTTACAGTTCTTTCTATAATCAATTTCTGCATTTTCCTGTATTCAGCACATAGGTACAAGTACAGACAGAGCAGAACTTTGAGGTCAGGAAAACCAAACAAAACATCCCTTCTGAGGATAGCTAAATAAGGATCTAAAATTTATGTTCTTTTTTCGGGTTTGCGAATGGGGCAAATGCTCTAAACCGAGTTCCACAAGTTTCAGATTCATGTCAATTACTTCTTGTATTTTTATGCATTCTCTATGCCCATTATGTTACACTATCACAATGTACCAGAATTCTTCATCTTCTACACAATCACCGGCACGTTAGCGGCATTTTATCTTATCTTAGTTCTCCCGAAGGTCGTTTTTGGGTCGGTTACATGGGGTTTTCAAAGGTTTATGCGTTCTTCAACTGACACCAGCTGAGGCTGATGGCTCATGCTCCCTGTGTGTTTAAAGAAGCTTAGCTTTAACACTAGAGTTGCTCAAATAATTCAAGTGACCCTACCATGGCCTTTCAATTCATGTATTCACTAATAGATAACTGGTGTTGTGTCAGATATGTTAAATGATGATGGGTCCTATGTTATAAAGAGAGAGCATTGACATATCTCATCAAGGTGGTTGAATGTCATATTCTCCTTCAAGTTGCCACTAGATATACTGAATTTGCAAGAATAATGGCTTACAGAAATGGAGATCAATAATGGTAACTTGTCTTAAATGCATAATAACTTGCATGCCCTGGAATTGCAATAATCAGCCATAGTTTGTTTGCTCAAGAACCACAAACAACATGATGTTTGAGTTGAACGTAATCCCAGAGCAAATCCTCATACTTTTTGCCCAATCGGCATGTTTAGAATAGGCAACAAATGATAGCTAACATTTATTATTACACATCATTGAGTTGTTTCCATGATAATTATGTTTACAAGCAAATAACGTTACATAAATCTCCTACAATAGGAGATTGATGGATGCCACTACCATTGGATATTTCATGCCATTAGTTTAGCCAAAAGTATACAAGTTTCTCTTCAAACAATAATGTAAATTTATATCTTTAGGCATACATTGAGCATCCCCCCCCTAATAATGCAAATAAAGCAAGAAAGAAGTAAAGAAATTGACCTATAAGGCGTTACTTCCCTTGAAGGAACAAATTGGATTAGGAGTTTGAATCCTATAATTGTGAATGGAGCAAATCGGATTGTGAGGTTACTTCCATGACCAGCCTCTACAATATAAAATTAAGATTAATTGATCAGTAAATTAAATATTTATGTTATAGAAAAATAAAATAATTGCAATGAATTTTTTCATACAAGTGTAATAAAATAACGCAAATAATCAGGCATATCGGGCCTCATTTTTCACTAGGCATGCCGTCTTTCAATTTTTGAGCTTTCAAATCAATATTGGGCTCAATTACAATATAATTTTATTAGGCCTTGAGATTTCTTTTCTTTTTTTAAAAAAAATCTAGGTTTATTTTAACAAAATTAGTTAAAACTTTTATTTTTCATTTTTAGGTGTTTATTTTTTTTATTAAAGTAGTTATTTAATATTTTTTTAATCAAAGTACGTGTTTATAATTTTATATGGTTATTATTTTAACGCTCAATTGTTGTAGATGTTGTGTTTAAACCCGAGATTTCTAAAAATAACAATCATCCTTTTAATCAGAGATAATTTGATTCGTACTTAAACGCTTATTTAAAAAAACATTAAACACTTAAAATAATAAATATATATTATATTTAATCATTTATTTTTTTAATTAAGGCAAAATTCAAAGATTTTCTTTTTGCGTCATACAACCATGACAACGTGACATGCAATTTCCTATGCTCATTAGCACTTCTATACGAACTTATCAGCTTTGTTGTTGTCTTTTGGGAAGATTTTTAACAATTCACTAAATGCACAAATATTTTTTATTTAAAGTTCAAAGACTTTTAAACAGAGTTTTAATCCAATGGATTCCTTAGCAAACTTAAAGAGAATGGACATGCATTATTCACAGAGTTGTACAAGGAAGAATCTCCATCTAAAACTGCAAGCAAATATGAATTCAAGATGATGGAATATTTCAAAGGATACTGGGAAAACTGGGTAACAATTATCATTAGTTAGTTCATCACAAGTGCAGGATTGAAGTAAATATGAAACCAAGAAATTTCATAGACTAGCAGAACCTCTGAGAACTCCATTCAGCAATCTGTGGGTGGTGGTTATGGTGGCGTTGTGAAAGCAATAGATGGGGGCTTGCCACTTTGAATCCTCAAGAACTGCTCCCACCTCGAATGTCATCACATGCGCCTCCCTCCCTACACTTTCAATTTTCACCTTCATATCTCGACTGATGAATTAGATTAAAACTGAATTCAATCGAAATCAATTAGACTTACCGGTGTAGAAGATCCAGAGAACGGGTCTCTTAGTCACAACATCCTCAAAATACGTGATGAAATCCGCTTTCTCCCACACATTGCAAACAAAACCATCTGCCTGTCGTTGACCCAAGTACGTTGCTCCGTCGAGCCAGTCGGGGCGTAAAATCCCAACCTCGAGTTGAACGCTGCTGCAGGTTTTGGACGAATCGAGGGTGTAAAAGAAGGAAGTCCCATTGTTCCACTCAAGGTCATAGAGGACATTGCCCAGCTGGTGCTGGATTATGTTGAAGTTTCTGCCGTTGGGCCAATCGTACCAGAGGTCGATCAGTTCGTGAATACCACTGTTGTTCATGACCAAAATGGAGTGGAATTGGGGCGGCCATGGAGTCGGGATCGGGTTTGGATCGTCTTGATCAGGATTGGACTTGCAGAAGTCAAATGAAGAAGTGAAAATGAGGAAGAGGATGATCTTGGGCATGGGCTTCATCGAATTTTGGTCAGCGGATGCCATCTTTATTCTTTGTCGCTTTAGTTTCTTCATTTCTATTATTATGGTTGGAGATGACGCGTGGTAGGTATGTCGATTTCTAAAATAATGATAGTTTTTGTGCAAATGCAGAATCAAATGACTGTAGTTTGAAGGTGTAACAGACCAATGAAATATGTGCATGTGCAGTTTCTATTTTTTTTTATTCTTGGGTAAAACACACAAATGGTCCCGATTATAAGATAATATTTTGTTGAATCCTTTTAGTATTAAAAGTTACAAAATGGTCTCTTAATTATAAGACACTTCTTTGTTGAATCCTCTAACTAGAAGTTTAAGGTTTTAAGGTTTTTAAAATATATATTTCATTTTTTACCAATAAAAAATTTAAATAGTAATGAGTCAAAGTTAAAAATATTACTAAAAATTTCAATAAAAGACAAATTTAGTGAGACATAGAGAATGAATAAATTGAATTACATATAAAACACGGAAGGGTCAAAAAATGATTTACCTAAAACTACTAATAATGTGATCCTACATGCGGATCAAATTAGTCACAATTTTTTTTAAAGAAATCACTAATTTTATTCAAAATAAAAATATCATAAATTACAATAAAGATTTACAATCATAATGATTAATTAAGATATTATTAAGATAATTTTCTATAATCATTGAAACAAAACTAGCAACTTAAGATCACATAAGGATCATACAAGAAAAAATTAAAATTTAACCAAGAAAACTCGAACAAAGATATGTACAAATAGATCTGATCATCGACAAACGAATTACAAGAGAGAATCAAACTACTGAAAGACCACCGACAAATCGCAAATCAGACTCGAGTGACGTGAAAAACTATCCACGAACACATAACGGGTATCGAAATCAGACTCGAGCGACGTTAAAATTTATATAAAAAGATATAGTCTTTTTAGGGGTTTGAGTTAGATTATATATATAAGGAAGGGTTGACACTTGGGAATTAGATGAAATGTTTTTAGGTTGTTTGAGGGGAATGGTAATGTTGATTGAATTTTTTGGGTGGTTTAGGATAGTGTCTGCTAAAGTTAGAGATAAGATAGATCAATTAGAAGATGAATAAGCTGAAAATGAGTCTTAGTTGGGTGGTCAAGCATATTTTTTTTGGTTAAGGTTGGGTGAATTAGGTCGACTCAAGTCTAGTAGATTTGGGTAGAGGGTATTTGGTCTAGTGGGTTTGGGGTTTAGTTGGGGCCCTAAATTTTTCAGACTGTCCGGACGAATTTAAATGCGTATATTACTGATATAGTGATATGAAACTTTAAATGACTTTTTTTATTAATATCGGGTTATTATAATGTAATATATATTCTAAAGATTTTTAATTATTTGATAATGAAAGCTCAAATTTTTTTATAGTCTTTAATGCTCGAACCTAAGACCTCTAAAGATAATAACCATCCCTTTAACCACTAAGATAATTTGATTCGTGAAAAAAAATATCTATTTGGTGAAAGATCATAGATTGTGTTAATACCATCAAGAATTTTTTTTGCTAAAGCATGTAACTGAAATAAGTAACATGTAACTGATAAATAAATATATGCTGGTCCAGGGCAGTTTGCAAAGGTCTGGTGCTGCATTAATACCGCATAATATTGCACTGATGGAGCGCAATTGGGAAGTGAAATTGAGTTGTGTTAGTGGTGAGGCCAATTCTGTAGTTGATTTCATGGCACAGTTGGCGTGGAGTGCACCATTTAAGCATATAGAAGGTACCTCGATTCCCCTGGAGCCGTGAATGAATTTTTGCGCAGGGAACATGAAGCTGTGCAACAACTTTAGGTTGTTAGTTTAATCTGTTTTTTCTCGTTACTAGTCAATACATATATATATATATATATATATCTCATATTCATATATTAATTTTTTATTTATTATAGTATTTGAATTTGTCTATATTTCTCAAGTTGATATTCTTTTTATAAAGATGTAAGGGAATGATGTGTCACTGATATTTTATCATTATCATCAAATAATATATGTATATATATATTAAAATAGAATAAAAAATTATATAGTAATTAAAAATGTTAAAAAATATCAATGTGAAACAAATATATGAGTGTTAATGTAGGAATTGCAAAAGCCCAATTGAAATGGGCTGGTTGGTTGAGCAAACCTTGTTCAAACCCTTAGGCGTCCTCAACAATAATATTCGTGCATCAGTTTCGGCCTGCAAACGTTGTCTTTCATCACCCCCAGCCCTCCTTTTGGGTTTATTATACTAGATTTTAATGAAACTATTATTTTAGTCTCCCCTCTCTAGAAAAATAGTTCTAAATATTTAAACTTTTTTTTTATAAAATATTTATTTTATATATGAGAGATTGTTCGATATTGAATCATAAGTTTAATGTTAATAAAAACTAAAATAATATTTTATCATTATACCAAAAAATCATTTAACGAATTTTTAATTCCACAGAGAAGATTTTAATACAACTATATATTTTTAAAATAAATAAAACAACCTATGTGATATTATAAATAAAACTTTTGTGATAAATATAACAACTATATATCTTTTCCATGTTTAAGTTGCGATTAGAACCCCATTAAACGATCTCGATAGTAAATAAACGAGTGTTAGTTTTTAGAAGTCTTAAGTTTTAGTAACTGTGTTTATAGCATGCATATACATTATAAAATGATTAAGAGAAATTCTAAACAAATACTACTTTATAATCACTGCAATCAATTAAAAAAGTTTAAGATCAGAAGCTCCGGAAAGACTTAGCAATAAAATGTAAAAAAAACAACACACACCCCCAAAAGAAATTTTAATTATTATGTTATTTAAAATTATGTAAAATTGGAAGAAAAATGATTTTTTAAAATTAGTTTTTATATTTAATAAAATTTTGACACAATTTAGAACTCTTTTGTAAAATTTTATAAATGTATCTTTATATAAAATATTTATTTACTTCAGACAATGTGTTTGTTTAATCATACTATATATTATATTGTTGCTATTATGCTTATATGCTTAAATTGCCTGCCAGAAACTGCACAAGACAAAATGACTCCGTTCACCCATTGTTTGATAGTGTTAAATCATTATCACCGAATATTTAACCTTTTCTTGTCAGTCTGGTGTTTTCGCTTTCTCTTTTGGTTCTTTCACGCATATCCTCTGCAATCATCATTGCATGATTTTCATTTTCCTACCCTTTCTTCTCCACCGCACGATGAGCCGAAGAAATTATATAAAATATGTTTCGTTGGGGGAAAATAATGAAAATAAAATGGGTGAAAAATGAAAGAGGGCGAAGAGAATCAGATGAGGAGCCGCAAGAGTTGACGTGCAGAAGCCGAAAGGGTAGCGCACGTCAGTATGCATTGCATTTGCAATTGTAACGGTCCCCTACCCCTAATTCAAAATCAGACTTGTCGCCGCATTGGGAGAGGAGCCGCACGTCACGTCATTTTCACGCGGCTTACGTTACGTTACGCTACGCTGCACTCTTTCCATTATTAATGGACTTTCAAAAAGGAACAAGCTCATTTTATTATTATTATTATATTATGATGTTCGGGAGAATGATAATGATCGGTGGCGACTCCTAATATTTTATTTAAGTTGAAGCCCAATTCGGGCCCACCCGAAAGGCGGTCGAGACAGCTTGGCGACTCCGCTGGGGACAATAAGTGAGTCAGGCCATAAATTAATTTTCGGTTGTCTTTTTATGCGAAAATGGTAAATTTAAATTTTAATTTATTTATTCGATTCCAATTATTTATCTTTGAATATTTTTCAAATAAATAGTTGTACTAACGTTTTTAATGTTTTCATATTTTTCAAAATTGTCATCTCATGCTCTATACCCGAGCTCCGAACCCTATTTAAGTGGGGGTGAAAGCGACGCCTTCGTGAGAATTTATTCTCCGTGCGGGCCTAGCAAGTAACCTTCAGGATTCATATACCTTATGTCTTCGTGTGAATTTATTCACCGTGCGGGCATAAGGGAATGTGTCCTCTCGAGTTTAACTTGGTCCATACAAACCTGTGATGGGTTTATGACTAAGGGTCTGGTAAGCCCAAGGGGGCACCAGCAAGGAGAACTCGAGTACCATTTTAGAACTTAAACCGAGAGACCATGGAGAATTAGAGCCTACCCCGAAACCACATTCCAAAACCTAGGATATTTTTTACCCTAACCATGTTTTTTGTATTTTTTTTCTTCGTCATTTTTTTTTATTTGTTATTTTTTTACTAACTTTTTTGCCTTTGTGTTTGTTTTCTAGCATTTGCATCATAACAAGAGGCTATTGATCCCTAAAAATAGTTTGTTACACACGAAATAATCTGAATTAATGGACAAAGGTGTTGTAATACAAGAGATTAAAAACGCCGAGGCACGACTATGGTCCGAGAAGACGCAGAAAGAGAAGGGAGATAGTCTTCAGAGTAACTATGTGTCAGAGCTGGTTAGCTACGCATCTGTCAGCCTGAAACAGAATAATGTCCAAGAGCTGCGGAACATTTGGGACAGTTGGAAGAATGACAGAAAGCAGAAGTTCAGCCAACGATATGGTGATATTGCCCTCTTACTACATGTCAAGACTGATGAGCCCCTGCTCCGAGCATTGATTCAATTCTGGAACCCATGATATAGTTGTTTCACCTTTAACCGGGATATGGTGCCCACCATCGAAGAGTATACTACCCTACTGCACTGTGAAAGTATCAGACTAGAGAGGGTATATCAAACACATCAAGAGTCAACCTTTCAAGAACGGACTGGCTAAGATTTTGATGGGTCTGTATGGTTGATTATATTTCCGAAGATCCTTGGGTGCATTGACGCAACCGTGTAGAACTATTTAAACAACTTCCAAGGCGAGTCAACCAGCACTGACCATTTTGGCCGAGACCTTTCGGTCTCTTAATCATTGCTAAGAATTGGTGGAGGAAGGTTCATTGGGTGTGTTCAGCTTCTTCAAGTTGGATTCACAGCCATTTCTGGAAGACTAACGGGTCGCCTACCGCC